CCCAGCTCCCTAGTACTCTATGCAGGAGAAACTATACCGCTCACAAAACAAGCCCAGCCTCACTAGTACTCTATGCAGGAGAAGTAGAACCAAACGACTTTCTTGTAGTAATGATTTTGTTGAAACTCCTTTGTATAACCGTCTGGCTTGCATTACCGATAAAGCTTTGACTAATTTTTATACTAAGAATTTAAAAGGATAGATCTAAGTTGAATATTTTTCCTCCAATAATCGATAAATGAATTACTCTAATTAAATGAATATCTTCTTTTGAGCAATAATATAACAGCAAATTACACGAAGCTTATGCCACTTTTAATCTGAAAAACAAAGAAACACTTACTACCTTTCACCATTTTCGGTGCAACTTTATCCTGACTTACCTGGAACACTTGTACCCAGAGCAACGAAAGCAGTGGCCGTAACCTGATCTTTAATCCCTAAGGTACAACCAAAGTGAGATGCAAGGTCGCCGATGAAAGCGGTGAGAAGCCCTATTATGCAGATAGAAGTGACGAAAGAAAGCCACCCATCCAAATAATCTATAGAATAAAAACGGTTTGTGAAAATAAAAGGAAACAAGAACAACAATAGTGACAATCTAGACAAATTAGCAATTACTTAGTCTGTTCTTAACGTCTTCTCTTTGTTTCCATTTACTGTTCTATCGTGTTGTTCAAAATACAAGAACCATGTTTAGTCAAACTCGATAAAAAAAATGGTTGTTGTTATTACAAAATCAGGAGTATACCGTTATCGCTACTACAAAATCAGGATTATACCATTGTCGCTACTACTAAATCAGGATTATACAGTTGTCGCTACTACAAAATCAGGATTATACAGTTGTCGCTACTACAAAATCAGGATTATACCATTGTTGCTACTACAAAATTATAAATATATCTTAATCGCTACTACAAAATGAGGATTCTATATACCCAAGTCAAAATATGGAAGTTTGTAAACTTACTTTAAACTGGAACTGACCTAACATACGATTATATAATAGAGTTCTTTGCCAATTTTCTCTAAAATATTTGATATTAAATAATAATTTTAATATCTTCTTCTTCAGTGTTTTTAATATCTAGAAAAAAAGGTACCAGATCCCTGCTGATAGCTGGAAGAACAGGAACGTATGAGATTTGGAAGATAATAATTTAAACGTTATTGAGGCTACTATTTGGGATGAGGGTGAAAGGAAGTAATGTGGTTAATTACGTCAGTCAAACATCAATTCATAATGTAACCAAGGCAGCCTTAAAATAAATTATAGTGTATAAGACTTTGGATTACACACACACACACACATATATATATATACAAAACAGGTTCCGGATCTCAGATCGTGAAAGATCTGGCAAACATTAACCACCGAAGTCGTTGCGTGATAAGAATTTTATAAGAATGAAAATAAAGTTGGTTTTATGGACAAAAAACGATGAGAAACCTACTTATACAAGTTTTATTCTACATGTGAACACAAACCGCCATTTCAAATATATGTGTAGAAACTATGAACATCATTTCACTTATTGTGTGTAGACAGTTGTGTGCTCTCCCTCCCAAAACAAGCTGAAATGTTTTGACGATATTATTTTTCTTAGCAATTCTATATTGTGAAAACAAACTATACAATAAGGGATAGGAGTATAGTACCTATTGTTAAATTTGTTTCTAAATATATATAAAAAACTCAACTCATCTAAAATGAAAGAAACACACACACAAATCAAGAACTCCTAAAACTCAAAGCAGAATTTTCATCAGTACAGTATTACCGGTATTTCTTACATGGAAAGTCCTCACAAAGAAAATTTTCTAGGTCTCTTTGAATTTTGTAGTTAAATCTAGATACTGAAGTTAAAGGATATTCAATTCAAAGATATTCTTTGATTAAATGATGGATTTTACGAGCAAGAAAGTGTATTTTCAATTTAACTTCAAATATATATCCATGTTTTATATTTACAAACAAACTAGTAAATACGTGTTTATCAACGCCAAAAAATGTCAAGAACGTACATAACAGCCCAGCACAAGTGTCATATTTTAATTTTAAAACAGTCCCCCTTTCTTATAATAAAGTATTCATTACAATTTTCACGTCATTAACTATAGCATCCAGTACTTCCCTAACGCATCGGAATATCCCCAGTGTATTTGCTTTATTAAAGCTTATTCTTACAAACTATTCATTCAACAATAGAAATGTTTGTACATTAATTTGCGACGGAAAGCTGTTTTGCATAACATCATTTAGATCGCAAACTTACTAACAACAAAAAAATGTTCCTAAACGTGTTATACTTTGTGGTTGACCAATTTTCACTTGAAAAACTGTAAGGACTGAGTAACCCCGGTGACCTCAAAGCTATAGAGCACAATACAATTATGTTTAGCAGGAAAAGTAGACATACACATTGTAGTATTATTCTGTTCTATGGCATCAGTTCTTACAATTTACTATTGTTCGTTCCCGATAAAAAAAAATCCGTCTAAGCATCTGCCTAGATGTAAAAAGTAAAAACCTATAGTTTCCAAATCTGTCTATCTCAATTTCTAGCGAAAATTATATAGACATGTTCGTATTTTGAAGAATATTGTTCTTCGAAATGAATATATATAGATAGATAGGTGGGTAGTTTATAACAAATTATATATTCTACGATGCTCTGTAAATATTATGTTTATCATTTAACTGTTGAAAGAAATGGATTCGCAAACGTTTCCAGTAAGAATCAACATAAGCAAGTTAGTAAAATAATCTTGCATCTATGTCAAATAAAATTAAAAATTCTTATTACATTTTTTTTACATTTCCACTTAATCCTTTAGTGATTGGAATTGAACCACCTCTGACATGGATTGCTCACATTAGAAATTAACAAAACCATGCAAGTAACTACTAATGATATTTATAATGGTAGCATGTTTGAAAACGATCTTTAGTAATCAAAACAGAAATAAAACAAAACAAAAGAAGTGGCGTCAAAACAAAATACAATTATTTGGTTTTTATCTTTGAAATATTATTTCTCGAAAGGTTCAAAAAGTAAACAAAAACCGGTATATTGACATTTCATAAAATTTCGTACCATTTAAGGAATCTTTCTAAAGACAATTAGCCCTGGTTTTTAATAAATAGGAAGGGTTCGTATAATTTTCGCAATGTAGGAAAAGCTCCAGTCAAATGGGTATTTGATATTATATTTGAAATTAATAAAAAAAGCAAGTATTGAGATATACATGTTTAATTCTAACAAGAAAAAAAAACAGGATAAATCTCAAAACTACCAAATCTTACAGAGTCTAAAACGCCTTTAAGCAATAATACCCTCTCTGTTTGTTTGATCTAAAGCGCAAAATTACACACTGGTCTATCTGTGCTGTGCCCAGTATAGGTACCGAAATCCGGTTTTTAGCGTTGTAAGTCCGCAGACTTCTCGCTGTGTCACTTGGGGAGACGGGGAAGGGACAATCCCCTCTCTACAATCAAATCCCCACTAATTAAAACCAAATGCAATTCATCATTATAACAAAGAGCGAGAAATGTAGTTATAATAATATAAAGTTAAATATTTTGAGTCAATGAAAAATCCTCTAACATAGGTTTTTAAAAACATATTTACTTTACTCTGTGCTGGAATGATAATCTTTAATTTAAATTTTTAAATGAGCCACAACATCGTGTAACATGAACAAAAATGTCTATCATGACTAATTTTAAAAACAAAACAGTGTATATAATTGAATAGAGTTGTTTAAACATGCTGTTGTACAAAACATCGGTATTTTGTTTACATCCGTTGAAGTGAAATTCGGATGCATGTGCATTTAGTGATAGATTAACCACAATAAAAACTATGCAGAAAATAAGCAGTATTCAGATACACGTGTTTAATACCTTAATATTGGAGTCCGAAGATAATGTGAAATAAAAAATAATTCTTAAATAAATTCCAGCTTTATCTAGAGATTTCCAAAAATAGATATCGTTACCTGTCGGTGGAACAAAAGCGAAAAGAACTTTCCAAAAGATGGTGAAAAAGTGCATAACATAGTCCACACAAGAAGGGCGTTTTTCATCATCTTCATCATTTTCTCCTCTGTCGTCGCCTATAATGTTGAATGAATACTTTAGCTTCTGGCAGTAAAAGCTTCACGGCTCAAACAAACCTTGACGCATACAACTTTTGTTATTTTTGGATGTTGTAAATTAATGCTAAGGCTAACCGTAAGACAAATATAAGACTACAACCCAACAAGCAGCGTGTTTTTCACTCTGCATGCTGTCGCTGATCGAAGTTTATTCCCGATATTACAAGGCAACTCTGTCCTTAACAGCCATTATTTACAGTTATACGATGTATTCAGTTGAAATATGCTAGGTTTATTTTGGCACTCATGACTAGATTGGATGATACCAAGATTAATATTAAATTAGCATGTGCACGTTTAAATTTCAAGTGAATGTCCCCAAACTTTGATTAATAATTTTTTATCAAGAACAGTTGCTGAAACTCTAATACAAAAGGTGTCATGAATCATTAATAGCATGAACAGTGTATTTCTAGTGTTTAGCATGCTCTTTTAAAAATCTATGGCCTTTACAGTGGCAATTTAGCCAAAGAAATGGTTAATTGAAACTATTAAAATAGTGTGTGTAACCAGTAACTATGCAGTCAGAATAAAGATGTTTTATAGTGGACCTGTCTTCATGAGGGGCAGAACGAGAATGTTGTCAAAAACACTAGTGGGATACGGGTTTCTATGTAGACAAAATAATGACTGTTTGAGGCTGTATTGACAGAAAAATTTTGCTATTGAATACACATATTCATAATAATATTCTTTAAGCTGTATTAAATGAAATATTTTATCAGTGACTACGTAGTTAGTGTACTATTCTTTAAAGGTGCAGTAAAAGAAGTGTGTTATCAGTGACAACGTAGTCAGATGAATTTTTATTTAAGACTCTATTAAAATAAATATTGTTATTCTGACTCATAAGAACATTTGTCTGTCAGCGCAGAAAAGGA